GCAAGTAGTTAACCTCATAGTCTTCTCACAGTTATATTGTACATGTCATTGACTTTTAAGTTACCTAAATAAAATAACTGCCTCATTTAATTTGGCCTTAGGGGTTCAGTGGAATGCTGTTTGAGTTTACTTTTAAGATAAATGTCTGTCTCCACCCCAAAATACTTTTTTTGGTTTGGTTATCTGGGTGAGTTGACCCTTTTCAGGCTGGAGCTTTTGAAGGCAGACATTATTTCTAATTGCTAAACCCTTCTTACTCATATTGTCTATGTAAACAGCTTCACTGATTCTATTGTTGATATTTTATTTATACTGTTATTTACATTCTTAATTTTGTATTTATCCTTGTGTAAACTCTTACCTGTGCTATCCTGTGTTCCTGTTGCTACTTAAACACCTGAATTTCCCTACGGGGAGCAATAAAGGTTTATCTCTCTCTCTTTCATGTCAGAGTGTAGTGTACTGAAAGACTGCCCAAAGACCCCTGCCCGTCTGTCGGTGCCCGTGCTGCCTCCCTGCCTCCTGGCCCCTCTGAGCAGCGTGACCTGGACCCTCCGTCCTCCTCAGCACGGCACTGTGGAGCTCACCTCTCCCTTCGGGCCCCTAAAGCAGTCCCTACCTGGGCAGCAGTGCAACAACAGCATCCTCTTTAAATTGTCAGAAGACCACGGCACTACAATCGGACAGTTCTGCACCCCAGGAGCCATACAGAAGGTCCAAATCAACACCAACATGACCGTCACTGTGTCCGGGATGGGGGGTAAATCACTGAGAACTCTTTCAAAGCCTGTGCTGATGGAGGCCTTTTTCAAAGCGGGGATATCAGGTAACAAGCAGTTTAAATAAATGTAGATAAATAAAAGCAGTTTTCAGTGATATTTAATACTCTTTTTCTTTGATACGCAGAAAGATACATATTCACTGTGTCTCCAAAGAGAGACACTCCTGTCCTTTTGGCTACTCCTGGCTGGCCAGTAGGAATGAAGTCTTACTCCACCGTCTCCTGGATCGTCTCTGTTCCTCCGAGAATGGAGGCTCACCTGATGTTCGCCAACCTGAGCCAGCCCAAGTGCAGCAACCGCCACACCAACATCAGGGTGCAGCGAGTCGGCCGCCTGGAGGAGGAGTACAGCCGCAGGGAGGACGAAGAGGCAGACAGTGAGATCACGGTCAACGGGAACTTCTACCTCAACATGTCTAACTGTATGCCTGAGAGAGGAGACTTCAGCGTCATCACCAAGATCACCCTGCACAAGAGCAAGAGTAAGAGGAAACTTAGTTTTGTGTTACTTAACACTTTAAAAAACAAGTGGGTCTTTATATGCTTCAGACAGGCATCTCTCCTTTTTAAGGTGCTACTTTTAGCCATGCAAGCAATCAGCCGCTTTGGCTGAATTATCTCAACAACCATCAGATTAATTGATATACATTTGGTACAGATATCAATGGTTTTCCAGGTTTAAAATCATCATCTTTGGTGGATGACCAAATCCCTGCAAAACTATATTCCCATTAACTTTAACTGTACTTTGTGTTCAGTGCTAATTAGCCAATTAGTCAGCATGCTAACTGACTGAATGCTGAACATGGTCAACAATGACATTCGTTGACATCAACATGCTAGTGTTATTGAGCATGTTAGCGCAAGTTTAGTCTAATGAATGTTGAAATGTTGAATGTTGGTTTATCATCAGTCTTCTTTTATAAGCAACATCACATTTTCTATCACAAGGACATAGGGTATACTGTATTTAGAGTGCATCAGAATAAAACTTTTTTGTATCCGATTTGTTTTCTCTCATTTAGACCTGCTGCTGACTATCATCCTGAGTGTGGTGGCTGTCCTGCTGGTTATTTTTGTCATTGTGCTGGTAGTGGTCTGTGTGGTGATTAGGTGAGTGCTGCTGCATGCTGTTTTCTAGAAATGTCATAATGCACAATTAATAAGCACATTTTGTTGTCTTTATAATTGCTCACTTGCACACAAGGCATTTAATAAATATAGTGGATAAATAGCGGTTCTTCATGTTTACTTCAATCTGCTTGAGATGTCTCCCTTTATTTAAAATGTTCTTACTTAAATGGTTGGCTGTTAGTTTGATGCAGTATTTAACTCTAAAGTTCTGATCATAATGTCTTCCCTGCCAAACAGGAAGAAGAAAAATAAGCTGGATCATGAAATATCCATCTACAATCCAAACGGCACTAGCTTCCTGCCAGGACCAAATGGCTTCCCAAAAACACGAGAAGACAACGAGTCCCATGTGTACGCCTCCATCGAGGACACGATGGTCTACACGCACCTCCTGAGAAAGGGAGCAGAGATGGGCGTCTACGGAGAGTTCGACACACACCCGCCCTTCTCGGGGCAGACAGACTCACAGAAACCATTGGTCTCTAAAATAGCTGCAGACGATGACATACCGGTTGGGGTTTACGAGAAGTTTCAGGCTCCTCCGCTTCCAATCCGGCCCCCGAGCCACGTGAAAGCAATGCAGGACAATGTGATTTACCAAACCGAGGACCCAAGTGAAGAGGAAAACTCTCCGAATCTGGGGCTGCGGCTGGAGCCAGAGGGAGGAAACTGAGGAGGAGATTGGATTCAGCTTTTTGCTTTTCTCTTGACCTTTGAGATATTCATTCCCTGGCATCTTTGTGATTACCTGCCTCTCAAGAAGCCTTTTTTTTTTTCTCTCTCGAGCGTAGTTTTGCACCAAAGCCAGGCACACAAATTACCCTGCTGAACCCGCCTGCCGCTTGTTACGATGTTTTATCTCAGATGAAGGCAGTACACAATCATCGTCTTTGTACCAGCGATGCCACTATGAAAATATGCTTCTTTTAGGCAATGAACGTTTTTTATATTTTGTACAATTTGTGGGTTGTTTTTACATGAGCAAATGTGTGTGTGCTGTTTACATGCTGAAATGTTCTTTTTAATATTGAACCGAGAGAGGACTCTACTGCTATTATTGTTACCCTGTATTTTTATGGCATCATCATGATGGCCTGATGATTGCAACAGCAGTGTATGTGCATAGAGTATCTTTTTACTATCAAAGCTTTTTACCCTGCTCTTTGCCTTCTGGATATATCATTACAATTTAAGTTAAGTCAATACTCACCTTTAAATGCAGATTAGGATTTTACTGGGGTTTTTTTCAACTTTTTGCACATTCCTTTTGTTCCTTTTTGAACACATGCTTTTAGGAATCTTAAGACTGATCTGCTGCTAGTTTAAAAAAAGAGACTGTTTTGCTACTTGATGAATAACAATTACTAGGAAAAGGCTTTTGAGGACTACAGACCCCTTCTCACACAAAACTAAAATCATTAAACGCACAAAGAATTACATCTTTCAAAGAAGCAACATTGTTGCTTGACTGAATTGTGTTATTAATAACAGGTAGCTTTAAAAAGAGAGACTGTGTGAGGCGTATAATTTAACATAAGTGTGAGTGGGTACTAATGTGTTGTTGTGTAGTCTCAGTTATTCAGTGTTGAACAACAATCTATTTAAAAAAGTTCATGGTGCAAACTGAATCCTTGAAGATTTGTACTTTAGCCGGGATATAAAACCATAACACAGCAAGTATTTCATTAGGGTTTCTATTTTGACATGAAGCTGGTCAAGGTGACAGAATATTAGCTGGTCTCATTTGAGGAATAATGGGATTAGTTTTACAATCAAGCTTTTGGAAAAACTGAATAGATGTTTTTTTTGTGAAGTCATATCGCCTCCAGCTGTTCTGAAAGTGAACTGCAGAGGGGAACAAAGTTGCCATAAAATCATTTTCAGTCCTGAGGAAATAAAGTTTCTTCTGCCATATAAACAATGCAAGAGCTCTCTGAATGTGAGGTCACTTTGGTCCAGAGTCATGTATATATGAAAATAGGTACCCTGAGGACATGCTTTATACTGACACGCTGCTGCTGACATCAGTGCATCTCCGTGGAGATGTTTAAACATGTTGACATGATGTAACCCTCCTTTCATGAGTAAACTATTCAGAGTGCCAGAAACTAGGTTTTCATGATGGAAAAAGTGTGGGCTGGGTGGAGACAGAGTAAGTTATTGTCCTCATTAAGTAGGACAGATGTTTCTAAAAAAGTAGGACCTGGAAACCTCTGTATGTTTCAGAAGTAAACTCAATGTTGATCACTGCACATATTTCCAACAGTAAATCCTCCTTTCCGCATATATGTATTTTATTTCAATGTGGACTTTCCTGTTGAAGTTTACCATTTCCTTTGTCAAATTTTGTAGTGTTATTTTGAAAGGGAAACTTTATGCTCGAGACCTTTCCAAACTGGTGATACCCTGTAAAAAACTATGAAATCAAAGAGTAACTATTGTAATAGACAGTTATTTTCCTCTGATGAGCAAAAGCGGTGGACCCGTTCAAATCCAGTTTTGGACAGTCTGCCGTGGTCCCATCCCATTTCATGGGTATTGTTCTGCACGAATATTTTAGTGAGCCGGACTGCCGGTCTTCGCCTCCCGGGCATGAAGCTGTTTACATGTGTTTTGAGATGCTAAATAAAAGTCTAGCTAATAACTAATACGTTTGCACTGTGGACCAACACTATACATTGACGGGGAAGGGGGTAGCAATAAAGATAACACAATTTTACACAACATAACAGAAATAATATCGGATAGCAGCGTCCCTAGCAACCATCTTGGTAACAATGAAAACGTTGAATGGATACAATTTCCTAAAGTAATCTTCGTAATAACTAGCAAACTAAAGATCATGTACATCCACTGCACACATAATCTTAAATAACAACTCATATTTCTCGCATGAAATGACATCAAAACGCATTTGAATGACCAAACTAACCTTAAAATAGGCATTTTACACCGAGAATAAAACGAAGGTCGGCCATGTTTTTTTTTCTGCAGGGAGAAATGTGAAGATCACGTGACATAGAAGCCAGCCATTGGAATGAATGGTGAAAAAAAACGTAGGCATCTTACAATTTCAGAGGCGTTTTTGTAGATATACTACGTCCTACGTTGTGGACCAACGTAGTTATTACACGTTTTTTTGTGAGACTGGGTTGGTATCCCAGACCACTGTGTGAAGAAGAAGAAAATGCAGCACTTTACTTTTCAATGGCATAATGTAGGCTACCTGATACTTGTTTTATTTATTTATGCGCGCAGCATTTGATCTTCTTCACACACATGTTGATCTGCACAGATGAGATATTAAAGTAGACAGCAGCCCCTCAGACGATGTTGAACTCGCACACAGAAGCCTTTTCAGCTCGGCAGCTCTCATCAAACCACTTCCCGTGTGCCGTGGTGGAGAGGAGGCCACAGTTCTGGCTGCGCCCTCCGTCCGGCTGCAGGGTGATCTCTGTCTCCCAGTTCTTGAAGCGCACGCTGGAGCCTGATTGGTCCAACCACTGGCCCTCGGTCACCATGTCATTGACGCCCAGCCAGATGGGCTCCTCGGGGCCAATGCTCTGACGTACGTACTGGTAGAGCTGCTCGTTCTCGTCTCCTGTCAGAGGAGTGCTCAGACTGCCTCCCTTGGAGAAGCAGTCTTCGCTGGCTGCATGGAAGCTCTTCTTCACCGGGTCAGACAGGAAACACTTGCCCTGGATTTTGGTGCCTCGCAGACAAACTTAAGAGGAAATCAGGGGTTATTCTTGTCTATTTTGGGCTCTACCACTGGAGAGTGTTATAGTCTATTCTATGTTACATCCAACATGTGAAATATACTTGATATTATTGAGCTGTGAGACAAAAGCATTTATTCTGCTGTGATTCATAAACAGAGCATTTTCCAAAATGGTATGCAAGTCATTAACCATTTATCTGCATGATAAATACCTGTCTGTAAAGCCTGCTGCTCTTTCACCAAATTCAGCTCTTGAACAATTTCAGTGATCTGTTTCTTCAGCTCCTCGATCGCAGCACTGTTTGCGGAGTCTGTTGAAGAGGTCAAAAAAAGAACATGCCAAATGTATTCCAAAGTATAATGCATTCAGTCAGTATAAATGACACATAGTAGTTCAGTGTTGTTGTTCTCTAAAAGTTCTTCATGGTTTTTAACAAGGACACTGATTTTCAAAGTCAAGTTATTATCCTACCTTTCTTGCTGTTTCTTTTCTTTGAGGAGGTCTGCTGGAGTGTGCAGTGTGCCAGCAGGAGAAGGCAGAACATCAGACAAACCCTTCGAGTATCCATGATATTGGAAGAAATGCTTTTAACTCCACTGTAGATAAGCTGTTTCTGGTGTAGCAGCACACTTGGAAAGCTCCTTGCAGCTCTGAGGGCTGGCCAGACAAAGGCTGTTGTGTTTTTACAAGCCCAGGGTGGCGACAGAGTTGAAGGAGGAAATCTTATCTGAGAGAGATCAAATGTTTTACAGATGTTTTAGCAGACGTTTGTGTTGCTTTTGAAACGTTTAAAGGAGATGGATTGTGAAGCATGACTCGGGTTCCATATGTTTGTAGGTCATCTATCACTATCACATTTTTTACATATTCATCATGTCCTTATCAATTATCTGCATCTGTCTGTGCCACTTGAGTGCAACAAATACAGAGCTATAAACAGTTGTGCCTTCTTATCGTTGCCTGCTAATATAAATGGGCTTTTCCTGTTAAAGGTCCTGTTGTGTGTCTGCCTAAGGCTCCCACAGGCCAGCGGTTGGATGTTTTTGAGTTTTTGTTACACATCCCCCATCTGGATCCCCTCAGTGAGCTCGATGACGTGTAGCAGACACGAGGCAGAAACTTATATAATGAAGAAAGACTGTTGTGAAATCAATATTTGCTTGTTTCATCTGCTGGTTTGCAACATGAATAAAATAAGCCAAGACAAAGAGGGTGTGATTTTTATCAATATATTTGAAACAAAAATATTTACAAAATAAATAACAATGAAGCAGGCTCTGTAAGTAGTCCATTTCACATTCATTGAAAACAAGTCATTTAAAATGTACAAAAGTTCAGGCAAAGACCAAAGGCAGTTTGTACATATAAAAGAACACAGAGAATAACAGGCTGCCCTGTGCGCAGCAGGCACGCCGACGCTCCAGCCTCTGATTCAGAGTTACAGACAGCGTCCAGGAAGTACAGACAGTGTGGGTCACAATTCAAATGCATAGTTAGTCAGTTTGTTATTTTCAGTTCAAACATTTCCTCAACACTTTATCTTCCATACAATGAAGATGTATGGAGTGATCTACTCAGATGAATGCAGATAAACACTTTGTCGGCTGCATAAATCATATGGTGGTTTTGCAAATGATGTTTATGCATCCTGGTTAAAGGTAATATTTTTTAATTATTGCATTATTTTTGTTTGTATCTTTTTCCTGTTCTCTCATACCTCTCTACTGTCTTATGTGCTGCTGTAATACTTTCCTCATGGGGATTGTAAGAATATTTTTCAATCTCCTGTTTATGCTTTGCAGTTATGATGCTTCAAAAGCACCTTTATTACTGCAACTTCAACATGCTTTGTGCATTTGTTCATTGCTCAGTTAATCATTTCAGACAAATACAAAGCCCTATGCAATGCTTATTACCAGCAAGCAGAGCTCAGTTACAAACGGAGCAGCTTTTACAACCCACATATATTAATCTGGGTTTTTTTTAATATAATTTAACATTTTTAAGATGCTCTTTCAGAGTGCAGGAAAATCAAACATTGAAAATAGGTAAAAATGACAGGAACACAAGAGGTTTGCAAAATCACAATGCTCAACACAAAATAAATAAAGAAGAGAAGAACACAAAAAATTACATCTTGAGGTAAAAACATGCAGGATCTAATTAAAGTGTGCTTCATGTCTGCAAAAAATACAATGAGTCCTCTTCCTCTTGTTGCCATGGTAAACTATCTCAAGTCTCTCCAGCGTTGGGCACCGTCCCTCTGGCCTACGTTGGGCAAAGCACTGTAATAACAGGAGAGATTCATATTAGAACGATGGAGCAGGAGTGCACCTTCAGCATGAGGGGGATCAGCACAAATTACAAGTAGGAGAAAAAGAATGGAAAAACAAAAGGAAAATCTAAATGTAAGGACACCAGTTAGTGCTGATGACCTATTTCTGAAGTAGGGTGGGTGAGGAAACATCCTGAAATCACAGCAATGCTAGGTGGCTAATGATCATTAAACTGTGTCTTAAATGTGAACTGCAGGGTGAATGGACATTTTGTGTGACAGTGGGTTGTGACATTAAGAGGGATCAACCATGCTGCAGCAGTCACTGTGTGGAGAGGGGGGGGGGGTACAATGAAAGGACAACACCAGGATCAGACTGCACTACAGTTCAGTGGTAGAGAGGGGGCGCTCTCCCCATGTGAGTGAGACAACCACAACAGTACACATCACATGTGAAACAAACCTCTGCATCCATCGCTCACACCAGAGCTGGTGAGGCGGAGATAAGTTAGGTCATGAGAAGCAGAGAAAGAAAACATGAAAGAATGAAAGCAGAACATATGTGAAAGGAAGGACTAAGAAAACATAAAAGACGGAGGGCAAATGTTTTCAGCAGGAAGTACTGAAGGACCGAATTTCACAATAAAGTTACTCTAGTTACTCTGAGAGCCGAATATTAAGAAATGCCCTTTTAACAGCAGCCATTTTACAGGTGTAATTGATCAAATGAATAACTTCAACGGCTGTTACAGACTAAATAGAACAGGATCATAATTATTTTTGATCAAGTACCTGTGTTTATCCTCTCATGACATGTCAAAAATGTTTGCAGTAAAAAGGGCTGGATTCTAATTGAGCACTGTGACATTTAGGACCTCAGAGTCAACAGCCAGACTTTTTAAATACCAGGTCTATATATTAATTTTATCACTATGAATATGTGTTTGTTTTTGACAACAACAAACATGTAAAAGTGGAACCTTGTTGCTGCAAACTGTCAAATGTTGCTGTGTCTTTCAACGTTCCCACATTAACTGTTTAATAGAAGTTATTGCTTTCAACTGCGACAAGCAGACTTGACTTGTTTTTTTTAAATGAAGCATTTTTTTTAAATGATTTGGGGATTTTTGCAATAAACTAAAACTCTTTATTGAGATATGGGAAACACAATCTGTATAACAACATGTGATAAAATGGACAAAATAAAGATGAAGTATACCATTTTTTAGTTGTGACATTCATTTGTCATTCTCAACATCATTTATAGTGCAGACACACAAACGAGAAAAGCTCACCTTTAAGAATATAGTCTGTTAAGAGACTGGGCACCTTGTCACTGTCGTCTCTCATCGCTTGTAGGACTGCAAGGCAGCAGAAACAAAGGAGTGAATGGATCAATCACAGCCACTAAAACTCAAATACTGCCGGTGCAGATAAAGAAACGTACTCTTTGTCAGGATCTGGAGGTCCTCAAGGGAGGGTGGGTGTCCCTTTTTCTCGTATGGGATGACTGTGGTCAAATACTGTAAAGAAACATAAAACAGAGCGAAAGACAAATAGATGAGACAAAGTTTCTGTAGATGATGTTTCTGTTGGATGAGATTCCTATCAATGTGTTTATATTCTGTGCAGAAAACAGGAAGATAAAGTTCAGCAGCTGAGAGAGAAAGGCAAAGTAACCTGTCTTTCACTGCAGCCGCTCCCAAAGGTTTGCCGGAAGCTGTTCTGAATGACAGAGGAGATTCCCTCCACGCTGAAGCGCTGAGGAGGAAGGAAGGAAGTAAAGCAGAGAAATATAAGACAGTAAAAGTAAAAAAGAAAAGAAAGGAAAAGGTTTCAGGAAAATACAGTTTGTTTGGAAAAGAAAAACTGAAGACATCCCGTGATTATGAAGGAGCAAAACACTCACTGATCCCTGGTTCTTCTCTGCGTGTCCCTGCGACGTCCCGGCTCCTGCTTTAAGTTTCTTCTTCTTCTTCAGCAGCTCCCGATGCTCCTTCTGTCGGTTCTGTACATCAATGAGCGCTGAGATGAAGCTGTTCTTCACCTCCTTCTCAAAGTCCAGCTCGTCCCTGAGAGCCAGCTGCAGAACCAGCTCCTCTGAGAACATCCTGATGGTCGTCTCCGTCTCCTCCAGACGTTCATTCAGCTCCGCAACACTCAGAGACCTCACTCCTGGACCACAAACAAACAAAGAGAAAACACACAAAACACAGCTGTTGTTGATGATTCATCATTAAGGGTCGCAGGGCAATTTATGACACCGCACTATCATGAATCCATCACATTTTTATGACACGAGAGGATAAGCTTTATTTTAGCTTTGTCAACAAATCCGATGAAAAAACCAAAATCAACAATGAGTACATTTATCTCAACAATTTCCCATATCCCCATATTTGTTGTGGATTATTCCGGATTAATAGAAAATACAGGATGAGTTTGGGAGTATTTCTGCTGCAAGACAGAGTTTGTGTTATTGAGTCAAAATAACACAGTGCCTAGATTACTGCAATAAAGGAACATGTCACCCAGTGTAACAGTGTGGCTTGTACTATGATACTGATACAATGACATCAGTATGATATAAAAGGCTGTAACATAATGGTTACTTTGTACTTATAGCAGACCACAATAGCATGTCTCATTATATATTACTGATGTTTCTCAGCCCAAAATGGACACTCACTGGACTCGTAGCTGGGGCTCCTGGTGCAGCGCTGGACGTCCAGAGAGAGCATCGAGAGGTCTGACTGAGAGGGGTTGTGGCCTGCCTCCATGTCAGGAGAGTCCTGCATCATCTCCTCTATCTCCTCGATAACCTGCACAAATCAAAGACACACACATCAGAGAGGCAGCACTCACTGGTTATTAAATCTCTTTTTCAGCCATGTTAAGCTGCAGCTCTGTATTCCTACACTTGATACAGTGTGGCTGCATCTGGGATAAACTACATGTAACTCACTTGCTCGGCTGTGAAAAGCGGCTCGTCTGCAAGGGAGGAGACGATGATGGAGTGCATGTCCAGCTGCTCCCTCAGCTCCTCATCGTCCGACAGCTCTACCGTGACATCAGTCTTTCTCTAGCCGGGAAGGACAGGGGGAGGGAATTTAATCAGAAACGCTAAACCCTGGCACAATACATATTTGAGATTTGCGAGATAAACAGAAAAGAGATTGGGGAGGGTAGGAGTGCTGGTGTTGAAGGGAAAGTGGGACAGAGAAGGGGGGGGGGGGGGGGGGGGTCACTTACAGGCTTCTCCTCCAGGTTGTATGAGGGTTTGTGGAGGGAGCATGTTCGGGACTGTTTCCAATCCACCGGCATCACATGCCCATAGTTACTGGTTAAAACCTTCCAGATTCTTTGGGGAAATAAATAACATGTCAGTCCAAAAAGCCAAATTATACTGACAAAATCACAGATCAATTTACTCATAACAGGGAGAAAATAACACCCAGACTTCCAACAATGTACAAATTGGGGGTTTTACCAGGTACAAGGGGATTGTATTGCATTATGAGAAATACTTTATGCATTAGTGTTTTGTTTTTTTTATGAAACATTTTATGGAAGGACTAACAGTAAGGATGTATGTATTTAATAGCAAACGTAAATATACTGACAGCAAAAATAAGTAAGAATAATCGGCTTGGATCAAACTACTGCTCTTTTATTGGAGCACTTAATAACTCCAGTATCTCTTTATTATCAATACTTTCTATTATTATGGAACACATACCTACATTTCTAGCACGGGCATGTATGTACTGTGTACTGTGTACTACATAACTTATTTTAGACATCGTCCACAAGTGCCACAATCAGACCAATACAAAGTAATTGTCAATTTGAAATGCCTTTGATGATGACATTTAAAATCCTGAAGCTAGTGACATATACAAAAAGTACATATTTTGTTTTTTTACTCTACACACATCAAATAATTTCCTTGGAATGGCAGTGTGCTTATATCCATTTTTAAAACTATTTCTTTATATTGAAATGACCGAACAGTTTCCTGATAAATGACTTAACAATGTAACACTCAACACATTAATTTCCTATCAATCAATTGACCAATTAATTGACTGGCTCCCTCAGTTGACTTGAGTGTGTTTCTGGAAAATAGACACAAGAGCTATATTTTAAATATCGGCTGCAAAATCAAAAATAAGAGCCAATACACATACATAATTGGTAAATATCTGTTTGTAAAGCCATTTAGGAGCAGATGCCAATATCATTGCACCTGTTAGGATCAATTTGCAATGGGTTTGTTATTACACTGGTAGAGCAGATCTATGCCCTGAGTTTTGATGACATGACAAAAGATGGTGGCAGTCTAGCTGTCATTAGAGCCCCATTACATCATTATTACACGGTGTAACAATGTGTAATACTCCTGATCTAAGAAAATAGATCCCATAGCAGACAACATAACATTGTATGCTTTTTAAAATGCAGCCTGCAGCGTTGAGTAAAAGCCTTAAGATCCACTTATTATTATAAACAACTAGCCTGCGGACAGGCCGGAAACAAAAACACTCACTCGTCTTTCTCCAGCAGGGACTCCTCTGTTATCACACTCACAGGAGCAATGCTGTCTGTATTGGCGTTAAAATTCTGGAAGCACACGGATAACTTATCGTCAAAATCGTTCACAAGATCCTCCATAGACCTGAAAGAACCGGTTTCCCCCGGGGAGAAGCTGCCGTCCTGCAGATCGGGGATATCATCATCACCCGGGAGGAGCAGCCGCGGCGCTGCTCCCCCCGCAGAGGCGCTTTCTACTCGGCCTTTCTGCGGCAGCTGCAGCCGCTGGTCTGAAACCATGCTCAAATCACCCAATATTGGCCAGTCTTCGTCGAAATGTGCGATGGGTGCAGCCATAGCCCGGACTAGCTTAGTAGCCCCGGGTTAATGATGGATGTGTGGTGGGACAGGCAGGTCTCAGCATCCTCTCTGAATGCCCGATCACTCCAGCCAGCGGGCTGAACCGGACAGTATGGCGGAACCGCACCGGGCCCACTAGTGGCTACACGTTACCTAACAGAGGACCATGAACGCATCAGGACAGCTCTTCACATTGTTTACATATAAGTTGATACATTTGAGAATAACTAAATGTTGTCCCTTAAAATGTTTTTGTTAGATCACAAAGTTGTGCTTGTTTCATGCAAGACAATCCTTAACCAGTCATACACATTTAACTGACATGTATGCACTGACATTGGGTCTTTACATGCAGAAAGTTGTATAATTATTATATCGATGCTAGTTTCATGTTCCAACAAACTTTTGTCCCAACAAAGCCCCATTCAATAAAAGGTAATTGTGAAATCTAAACAGCGCCCCCAGTGGATGAAACATGTATTACCTCATTCTACAATATCAGCTGCCCGCTTTGTGTTGCTAATGGTAACGGACTCCAAACAAAGTGAAAACGGACAGGATTGTGAAGAGGCTGCACTCGAGAAAGTGTGAGATATTTAGGGTTAAGAGTTTACCTGCAGTTCCTGACCAGGTAAAATGAGCTCACCTTTGTCGATGCTGAAGAAAACGAGGCGCACTCCACTGCACAGCCCTCAGAATGAGCAATGGTATACGTTTATTTACTGTGAAACAACAAAGAAGAACTAACGACAGTTCACTTTAAGTGCTACTGTGAAGAGGTCATAGAGAGCATGTGTACATTAAACTGTCTTTCACCTGCAGGGGAGGACAAAAAGTGCCTTTCAGGAGGAATCTCATAAAGGGTAGGTTTCAAGTGAAATCTGATTGTTACATAAAAGGCATAATAACACTGTACTGACAGGTAACCAAAGCAGAACTGTACACCAGGTTGTAAGGAAGTATTCTGTAATAATAATAATAGCCCACTGTAAAATGATTTGATTAGAAGAAAAAGTCAGCATCCTGAAAACTTTGGTATTTTATTTTATTAAAGAAATAATGTTCTCTCATTTATGAATTGATTAGTCAAATACATGTTTTAGCTCTTATTACTGTTAGACAATGACGTAATTGAGTCAATGTACCTATACAAAACTCTGGTTATCACACTACTCTTACAAGCTGATCATAGACTTCATGTTTTTTGGTTTTGGGTCTGTTTTATGTCCAGAATTTCAGACAGCTTTGGCTGATGACGATGAATCCTCGGATGTCAAACCTTCCTTGACCTCTCACACGGGAGCCAATGATGCCTCCAATTCAAAATCAAAAGCCCCATTAAAGAAAGGTAAAAGCTATTAGAGTTTTGGTTCCACAGCATGTCTTTTATTCATTGTTCAAATGTACACTTTCAGGTAACTATATTAATTTAAAAAACAAGTTTTAAGAATGTAAAGGATGCTTTCACAGGTAGTGCACCAAGCGACTTTGAGCTGATGTCTGCCATGATGCAGCGGGTGAGCCTGCTGGAGAAAACAGTGATGAGCCAGGCACGGGAGATCGAGCGAAAGGTGAAAACACACACCTCCTCCAGAGGAATAGCATTACAAAACAAATCTTTCAAACATGTCCAACTGTCTCCTTTAAGGATGAACGGATTTCAGCGTTGGAGAAAAATCAGAGGTTTATAAAAGAATCAGGTAAAGGGAAAATGCCTAAATTCGATATTCCCTGAATTTCTAAATAAAAGTAAAAGTCTGATCATATTTACATGTTGCTTTTTTATGTATGGCTTTAGCGGGTACTATTCATCCTTGTGGCAGAGATGATCTTGAGAGAAGATGCCAACAGCTGCAGAATCAAGTGCAAGAAATGGATGTAAGTGTATTTAATAAAAGCCTTCAGTTATATGTTAATATTTTTGATTACAGCATATTACATTACGCTGATTCAAATTCTTACAGAGCTTTCTGAATGACTATGGTTTGATCTGGGTGGGAGATGGTGAGAGCAGTGACTCTGCAGAGAGTGAGCAGCCACATAACTTAGAGCGAGGCCTCTGGCAGCCAGGTATATTTACATTTCCTTCCTTAACATTTACATTCCAAATAGTTGAAATATCACCATACCTTCTACCTGAAATGATTACTAACATGCTGGGTGTTTTTCCTCTGCAAGACACATCTGTGGTCAGGAGCTTCCACATGAATGTTGACCTGGTGCTGCAGAGGATCAACGAGCTGAACATCCTGGCAGGAGAGGGAGAGTGTTTCGTTCAATCCACATCCACGGGGGCACACTTGGCAAAAAAGGACCCTGTTCAGCTGAGTCTCTACAGCAACGGCATTGTCATGTTTGACGGTCCTTTCCGCTCGTATCAGGAGCGCAGCACCCAGGTTAGATTAGACTATAAATAAAGTCGCTCAGAAGATATTTTGATATTTTAACCTGGATTCTTTGGTGAGTCAAATCCTCTTATCTTTGGACTTTGCAGCGGTGCATGCAAGATCTGATGGACGGATATTTTCCATCTGAGCTTCAAGAAAGATTTCCAGACGGTGTGCCTTTTGAGGTTTGTTTGTATTTGATTGCAAGCAAAATGTGAAGGACTGCAGCTAAGAATTATATTCACTAGCAATTATTATCCCAATTATTTTAAAGGTTTGGTTTTGTTCTATGAGATGACAAAAGTCTGCTCCTTTTTGTTGCCTATTTGCAACTTTGCAACTTTTTTGCAGGTTAATGACCGGCGAGATGAGGATTTTATCACCAGGCTACCGTGGAATAATTTTCCAGGCGAAGGACAGGCTGTCCGTGGGGAGAAAAATGAAACATCCAATACTGTCAGCTCTCAGTTACCTGGTCCGTCCTGCACACATCACACCAATGCTACCAAATACAGACCTGAGGTGGCTCTCCTCAGTCTAAATGCGCTGTTTTCTTCTGACCACAGGCAAGAAGTTGAGCGTGGATCAGTTCCTGAGCAGGTTACCAAAGGCAGTAGTGAAGGCTGGCCGTGTGGTTGATATCAGGGACTCCCTGAGGGCCGCCCTGCAGGTGAGCATCAAAGATACCTACAGAAAGTGTTAGCAGCTATAGATCTTGTGTGGTTAACATATAATTACTACAGTGCACTCTCACCTGCTGTGCTTATGCTGAAAGAACACTCCCGTCAATATGATCATTATCTAACAAGTGCTCTCACCAGGGTTCATCTCCTGCTGGGAGCAGCAGCTCCATGATCCTCATAGACACGCCGGCCCTGCAAGCGATGAAAGAGAGGTATTTAAAATGATGTCCTCCATTATGCAAGCACATTAATTGTAATATGTCTAGAACATTTTGTTGGCATTACAATCATGTATACATCTTAAGAAAAGGCAAAGATGTTATGGGGTTAAAGGGATTACTAGATCCAAGAACATACTACATGATGTAAAGGCCGATTGAAATACTGATTTAGCCGCAACGTCTGATTGTCAAGATTACTGTATGCACTGCATTGGAAAATAGGTCAGGTCAGCGCCCTGGTAGAGGAGCCTCAGGCCAGTCTGGGTCACTAGTGCTATATCAAGTGGGTTTGGAATTGTATGCCTTGGACTGCAGCTGGGTTGACCTGCATCTGATGAATATTAAACAGGTTGTTTTTCCCTCTAGACTGCAGACTTCCAGCTCCGATCGGCCTCGGTCCCCCTGTGATGTCATCACAATGAAAGTGAAGTCAGAAGACGGGAATCATACTTACGTACTAAAAATGAGCTTCTCAGAAACAATCGGCCAGCTGCGACAGTATCTGGACAAACACAGGTGAGTCCTCGCCCTCCTGCACTGACACAGTATCTTCTTGTCTTTACAACATCTCTTAACACATCCATGCATGTGACATTTAGATTTTTTGCATTACAGAGGGGGTGGTCTCCCTGGTTATGACATCATCAGTGCGTACCCACAGCACCGCTACGATGAGGACCGCCAGACGCTCAGATCATGTGGCCTCACGACTAATGCTTCTCTGCTGCTGCGAAAGAGGCAGAAACCGCCTCATGCACTGAGTGAAGTCAATAAAATAAGATTATAAAAGACGAGGTATCAGCCTTTACCGCAGCAGACATGTTGGCTTGTCAAAGAAAAACACAGCGTTTAATAACATTAATGTTTGCTTTGTTGTAAGCGTCCCAGTAAGTAGGACAGTGAACCAGCACGCAGCCTGACTCCCGCCTGGGATGTTACGTAACATGAGGGCAGGGTGTCTCCAAAGTGGGTGGTCCCGCGGGACTGAATGCATGTAACTAATACCGGAAACAGATTATTTTTCAATGGCAAAGGAAACAGTATGAGTAATAGATCACGTCATGGTTCTTTCCCGATCTGCTCATAAAATACTTTTCACGGCTGATACAAATCCAGTATATCGGATCAGTGCATCATTAGTGATAGAAAGCTGGCACTCGTGGCTTTCTGCACAGAAGGGATGAAAATACTTTAAATGTTTTACACCAAGTCAAATAAAGTTAAAACACATGGCAAAATGTTGAAAATCTTTATTTCTAAAATATGCAAATACAAACAAGGACAAAAGTATGAAAATATAAACATATTTTTCCCTTTTTGCTAAATGTTTGAGATGTTAAGGCATGCGGAGCCGGACTTTCCAAAGATATAGCTTGTGCTACTCAAGTTTCTAAAAAAGGTCCCATGAAATGAAAAATGGCTTGTGTGTCCCTGGGTGGGTTGATCTGTATCACTTGTCAGAAAAACTCATTGTTGCATATGTGTGTATATATATATATATATATATATATATATATATATATATATATCCTGTAAAGTGTCAAGCTTTTCTTTTTGAATGGCTTCTCCTGCACTCAGGGCAAATATAAAACTCCATCCAGTACAATGTGATGGGGGATTTGGGGGTGAACCAGCCAACCCCTCCCATCATCCTCACATGGGATTAAAACATTCTTGGACCTGAAGAAGCTAAAGATCCCTTAGTGACCGCTGACAATCATTAGCCATCACAACTCGTTAAAAAAAACACCACGGGAGAAAATGACAATCTGATGGCACTTCATGGGACCTTTACACAAGCTCAAACACATTAGCACATTATTACAGCAACGCATTAGGAGGCTTTTACACTGAGTTGTCAATGCAAACAATACAAAATAAATAATACTGAAGATTAATACTGTTTTTCAGTCACAAATTAATGAAACAGTTACCCACTCTGTCAGCCATTATCAACCTGAAATATACAGAAACCTTTTAGGGCAGATAATCACTCAGAGTTATCTTTATCTACCAGGAACAAAAAAAATACATTCTAAAAAGGGCCTCCACAAGCTCTGTGAGTTTTCCCAAAGTGATATGCTACATTCAGAGTCAGGGAATGTATTGAATATCCCACTGGTTGATACGCTGAGAGAAAGGTCATATTGGAAGAGTCAGCTGCAAACAGCCCTTTGTGGTTGGTCTAAAAAGAACTAGCATTGCGACAGAAAGGCACATGTTGGTGTTCTTTCAGAACGAGGCCTGCAGCAGAGGGAAGCGTTCACAAACATTCACAGACTTGCACAACTGCTCTGACCAGAGTTTCTTTGGTAATAAAATGGTTGTAGGCTAGTTGGTGTGAGAAGCTGTTTTGGTTTTAAACCCTTCAGTATCAAGTCCAATACCTCACAGCAGAGTCTAATGTTACAGCATTGGCCATTTTAAATAACGGCATGTTGGAAACATTCACTTGTAAATCTTGTTAAAAGCACAGGTTAAAATATTTCAGTTGATTGTCAACCACTTCTTTTTAATTCCCCCGGAAAGGGAAAATAAAGTTTTAAATAAATTATATTTGTGGGACTTCTACACAAATAACTAGTGAAACAAAAAGTATAAGACTGTTTGGTAACTGACAATATTCATGTCATCATTAAAAACACACGCAAAATGCTTAAGGATCAAGTATTAGAGGTAAGTTATTTTCCGGTAGCCCTTGGACTGAAATAGATGAACTCACCGGAGGGATGGGAGGATTCTGAGACAGTCAGTCGAGAGAAGAAGAAGCTAAACCATTTGGGCTTTCCTTTGTCCTCATTTAATGAAATTGGAAAATCCAGTTCTCTTTGTGACATTCAGTAACTAGTCATGAAAGACGAGCCCGTTTCAGAGGCTTCAGAGGGGAAGGGGAGAAGTGTCACCTGGGTGGGTTAGGGTTACTGGGTGATGCAGTTCTCTCCCATGTCCTGCGCGTACCGGTCCAGTATTACATTGCGTAGTTCCTCCACGTCTCGACGGAGCTGCTGAGCTTCGACCAGCTTCTTCTGCAGCACCTCTGGATTCATCCAGTCCTCGTCCAGCTGGGTCACTGGAGGGGGCGCTGGAAGAAAAATAATCATCATTACTCTCCTCATCATTGAAAGATATCTGAAATAAAGTTATATTTTGAGAGGATCTGTACCAAACAAAGATAATTAAAGGTCCCCTATTATACTCTCTCATCAATATATTATAGGTCTCAGATATATACAAAACATGTCTCTGAAGTGTTTGGCTCCAAACACCAAACAGATCATCCCATAATCCCCTCCGTTTCAGCCCTGTTTCAAAGGTGCTGATTCTCTGTCTGTTACTTTAGACGAAAATAAAGAGCCCCTCCCCACGCCCCTCTGGGAGATATTTGGTTAAAAAAAAAAACACAATGGTGCTCTAGGAGGAGATTCAGGTGATAAGGTGTGGGGGGGGGGGGGGGTTACCTTGGTTGGTGATTGGATAATGGTTACACAAGCCAAAAAAAACACTAGGCGCTTTCACACCGCAGTACTTTTCCCACAAAGGTTCATGACAACTTAGTTCATGAGAACTCTTTAGTTCTCATGAACTAAGTACAGATCACGTTCACACCGGAATAAGTCCCTGGGGAAGGATTAGGCAAAATGAAGCCGCGGATGTCACTTCTTCTTCTTCTGCTTTGGGTTTACTGGCAGGCGGCAAACAACTTCACGGCGTATACTGCCACCCAAAGTCCCCGGAGTTGGGGACTGGCTTCCGAGTAAATCGCCAGAACGCCCACACCTCCTCATCTCCACCGCTCCCATGTTTTCTTTTGTGTTGCCATAAGTTAGTCTCTCTGCGTTTGTGCGCTGGGCTAATGCTAATGCTAATAATGCTAACGCGAGGATAATAAAATGGCGGCTTTTTTGGAGTTTTACGGGGCGTGGTTTGCAATCCGCCCAGCCAATCAGAAATAGGAACCTTTTTCTCCAACGAAAGTCCCTTTCAAATACAAAAGGGGGTGAAAAGGTTCTCATGAACTAATTTTAGTTCCGGATTTTTTTGGTGTGAACGCAACATTTCGGAACTATATCAGAACTAAAGTGGGAAAAGTACTGCGGTGTGAACGCGCCTACTGTGACATCACAAAGTGGCCCAAATCTGATCAGCTCATTTTCAGAAAGGTTTTTATATAAATGGATTAGGACAAAAAGAGAGAGAATCTTTTTTCCTGAAACATGTTTTTGTATAAAATACATGAAAAGTGGATTTTGCATAATAGGTGACCTTTAAGGCAGCAGAATATTATTTGTAGTCGGCGACATCACTATGGCACCACAATCCTTTATTACACATACTTTTTCCTGAAACAAATATTGTGCTTCCTGCCACTTGAATATTACACTAGCTCTTATTGCGATTTCTATCCCAATTCGCGTAACTATGTGCCATATTTAAAATCTCACAACACTGATTTCCTGAAATAATTGAAAGAGTAAAGATCTCCGCAGTGCTTACATGTGAGGCCCAGCAGCAGGGAGATGTTGGGGTCCTGTCCCTGGGCTCTCTGGGTCAGGATGCTGCACAGGGAGCGCAGGTCACTGAGGCACGAGTTCATCTCTGCATGCAGCCTGTGAGTGAGGCGGGCCCCGGCGGGCTGCAGGGGGGGGGACGCCTGGCTGCTGCTCCTCTGCTCTGGATCCCCCATCTGCTCCTGCAGGGTCAGGTTCTGCTCCATCAGCTCCTGGTTCTGGGCCGATAGCTGGAACATAGCGACAAAAAGAGTCAGGCAATTGTGAACACGGTAATTTAGGACTCACAGATTCTCTGCATGCCATACTTAGACATTTTTGTATTATTCCATTATGGTCTCACCTCCTTCATGGCTGTGTGGAGCTCCAACACGTTCTGCTCCTTGGACAACACGTCTTCTCGGAGAGCCTGAGAGCTGCTGTCTTCCTGAGAGATCTGCTCCTCCAATGCCTGCAGACACAAACCGTTAGTAACTCACAAACGCTAAGAGACCACAATAATCATTGAGACTCATTTTGAAGGGAAACAGACCTGGATCTGGGAGCCGAGCTGTTCCATCATGCGGTGCTGCTTCTCAATGACCTGCAGAGAGAGTATCAAGTTACTTCACCCGCTCCCTGTGCTGTGGGACTGGGGGGCTGTGACCTTAGCTTCGAGGAAACAGCGTGTGTGTTTACGACTGGAAGCATTCCCCTTTTCTAGCACATGGCAAACATGTGCTAGAACCTAGAAAGGGACTCTTTTGTTTCCAGCTCAACATATTAGGTTCAACCACTATATTGATAATGTTTTTGCTTCAGCTACAATTTATCAAGTTCCCTTGTGCACCCTCTGTACTTTATGTATACAAAATATTTTTTTTAAAAAGGTGTTGCAGAAATATTTCAAGTATAATGGTGTGCCCAGATGAGCTTTTATAGAGACAACACACAAAACAGAAACAACAATTGACCTTTTTGAGTCTCTGCTGCTCCTCTCTCAAAACATTGTTCTCTCCTCTGAGCTTCTCCATATCCACTGAAGGCAGTCTGGCTCCATCCTCCAGGCCCTGCTGCACCCGCTGCTGCATACTGATACAACAAAAACACAGAATACACATTATTCAGAGTCCTAATGGTTTTTATTACAATGCTCACTAAAAAGTTATTTGTTGTAAGACAGTGTGTTCATACTCAGTAATGGTGGTCAGCAGGTCTCTCTCCCTGCGTTTCTGTTCGTCCAGATGTGCGTCTTTTTCTCGTAGCTGTGAGCGCGTTGTGTCTAGACAGAGCTCCAAATCTCGAACCGTCTCTTGTAGCTGAGCCGCATGCTGTTCAGCCTCGACGAGCTGATACAAAAAACACCACACACACGTTAGGATTTAATGATTGATGGGTATATTTGATCCAGTAAGAATGGTGAAACTGGAGCAGAAGCACCCTCACCTGCTTGTTCTGGCTCTGGTAGTCTTCTAAGGTGGGCAGGTCGGCCAGATAGCGCTCCAGAGTCTCGATGCGCTGCTGGTTCTCCCTCTTCAGCTCAGACTCCTTCTGACACTTCTTCTTCAGGTTGTTGATGTGTTTGTCTCGACTGCGGATCTGCACAAGTAGGCATTTGTGGTAAGTGGGAAAATACGCTGCCAAAATAACAAGAAAAACTCCCATTCATAACTTGTGACAGACTACAGACAGTCAGACGGTGGCCTCGGGGAAGTCACTTTCATATTCTCCATGAAAGAAAACTTGTTAGA